CTAGTAATCTCCCGACTATTCCCGAAGGTTCGAGAGAAGTGGCGTGACATTAGTCACATGACCTCGCTCACACAACAATATTTAACCCTCTATGCATGGTCATCCTTTACTGAGCATGTCACAAGGGATTTGGTGACTTACATACAAAATTTAATTAAACTACTTTTTGTTTATGTTATAACAATTAGTATAGCATAAAAATCATAGATAATAATCCATATTTTAATGGTATATACGTTTTAACTTCTTAATTTTATAACGCAATATTTAAGAAAATCCTGAATTTCCTTTAGTGTGAGAAATGTGACATTATTTCTCTAGGCTTTCCCTCTTCTCTAATTTATTCACCACCCATCCAATAAGTAATAACATAAATTACTATTTATGATATTGTCATCTCTCAGACAAAGCATAATATTTATAGCCTTCAATCTTGTTTGGTTATAGAGCCATCAAATAGAACATCAGACCCCTCTTGCCACACCCACCTGTCACGTCCTCATTTTTAGGATTTGTCAATAGTTATCTATTACATTTAATACTATATTATTTATAACCAATAGAAAGCCAAGGTTTCATTTATCATGTGACATATTATATTAAGTTATTTTCGGTATAGAGGATTGTCAATATCTCTTCCAGTACAAGCTTTGTTCCCACGAGAAACATATAGAATAGCTTGGGTGTATTTGTAATGGCTCTTTTCACATAGTTAGGAAGCCAGAAAACTGTGATAGTTATGGAACATTGTCTGCTTTTTGCATGTTATTGTTCTATGTTCTCTGATGCATTATTTAATTAAATTAATAATTATTTAGTTCACTCCTACCATTAGTATAAAAAAAAAAGAATGTAAAAATAGGAATCTCTTTAGGTTAGTTAAGGTTAGATTAAGTAAAATAAATAGTAATATAATAAAAAAAATTTCATGAGGCATGCATGCGAGCAGATCAGAGTAGCTTCTGGGTAATGTAATGTACTTCAATAAGGATAAATTGGAAACTACCATTTATTGTAAACCTTTCTCTGTGATATTTTTACCACATCAACAATCTTGTAACACTAAATCTCAAAAACTAGTTTTTTACTTTTATGTGGCTAGGATACAAAAATTATGTTGTAAACAGGATAATATTAATGATGAGTTATTATTAATTAAGCACATTGTAGTAGAAAGAGGTTTTAAATCCTGATGTTGTTAACAGAGCTGTCAAAAACTAAAACCAGGGATAAAAATATTAAGTTAAAACCATTTGCTGAAAAAAGTAAAAAGAATGTTTAGTACTATCATTATACCAGGCTTATCTTGTCAAATATTGAAAAAATTAAAAAACAAATAAATATTTTTCCAATATACAAACTGATAAAGAAAGTTAGCCAAATTCTTAATACAACTAAAAATAAAATTGATTTAATGGTAAAATTAAGTATATATAAAATATCATGTGAATGTAAAAAACTTGTATAGGACAAACTCGAAGAAATTTAAAATTCAGAATGAATGAACACAAAAGAAACGTTAAAAACAATAATATTACTATTTGACCTTTAGCAGAAGGTGTTAGTGAAACTAATTACACGATTCAATGGGAAAAAATTGTTATTTTAGCACAAAACTGGAAATTTAATTGGTATGAATATATGTGAATCTATTGAGATAATTAAATGTAAAAAAAATAATTTTAAATTATTGAATAAGGATGATGTACCCGATGAAACTGTTGTCAGTAGATGGTGTGAAATTCTTTATTATGTAAATTTGTGATCTGGTAATTGTATAAATAAGTGTTTTTTTTTTTTGCAAAACATTACACTCCTGAGGATGCCGCAGTGATATACATTGAAACATGTAGAGTGTATGAGACTTTTTTGCAGTATCTTGTTTTTTTTACTACTTTTTATCCTATACAGTAAGTTATTTGTATTTTGTTATTTTGAGACTGGAAACAGTCTCATTTTTAGAACTGTGTATAAAGTAATTGTTGGTTTTAAAAAAACTGTGATTTTTTAACATATCATTCTTCATTCTAAAATGTCATTAATATGTTTTAATGTATATACTGGTGTTTTTCAGATGACCACACTGGAAACAGTTGAAACGGAAAAAGCTCTAACAGCAGTTGTGTCTCTTTTGAGCATGGTCATTAAAAGGTTGGAATTAATGCTGTTCCTAAAGGAAAAAAACCTTAGGAATATGAGCCAGAAGCTAGATATATAAAGTATTTGAAAAATTAAATATTATTTCATAGAATTGTTTTACATAAAGATACATCTTTCTATTTTTGCCAGCTTTGGACTGAATTTGCCCTTAAAAACAATTCTGTAAAAGTGTATTACATCATATCATAACATAGGGGGGATGCAGTGCCAGATTTAGGCATAAACTAAACAAGCTACAGCTTAGGGCCTCACAAAATTTCAGATTTTTTCTTCTTCTGTATTTTAAGATTTTATCTATGAGAGAGATTAAGCCAGCCAAATGATAAATATGTAATTTTTCACTTTAAATACCTTGCTATTAAATAATTAAAAGGTATATATATATATATGTTTTTAATTTTTTTGTTGCGACCCAAGGTCCTGTTTTGGTATGCACCTTTGTGAGACTTTCTGGTGTAACTTTTTAACAAGGGGCCTCCAAGCTTTATATAGCTTAGGGCCTCACCAAGTCTAAATCTGGCACTGGGGGGATGTATCATATAAAGATGATTTTAGTTGGACCTGACATCAGTGTTACTGTCAATTATGTTGTATGTGCTGGGAGCCAGTCTAGTTTATTACAGTGACAGTGTACACATTAGTAACTCCACAATACACTTTAACTTTCAGATGCTTTGCTGGGAACATGGGAGACTACAAAGAAACAGCAAAAAAAAAAGCATTTTTAGATATTTTAGAAAATGATGCTAACTGTTGTAAAACACTGGATGGCTTTTTTAGGCAAAACAGTATTGATATGAGCACTTCTGTAATAATTATTTAACATTGAACAACTGATATTTGACATTTTTCACAGCAAAATTTGTGGTACAAGAGTGACACTTACTCCCAATGATTTGGATATTAGGCCTATTATTTAGGCCTATTCAATATTATTCATTTCTAAAGTGCAGCCTTGTTTGTTGTTTTTGTGTTCACTTTCGTATTTTGTTTTGTTTTTAGGCCTAGAACTTTTACTGCATTTTGTAGGCCTAACTGTTTGTTGTTTTTTTTTTTTAACTGTCCTTGGTACGTTTGGTTTGTCTATTGGTGGAGCTATTTTCAGTTGTTTGCTGTTACGTTTTAGGCTAACTTAA